GTTTTTTGGTGTTGGCACTCCTGGCATGCCCCTACTCGTGTGGGGTGATGCGTCGGGGGGTGCTGACACTCATTATCCCAGGTTGCGTAGGATTGGGGTGGCTCTCGCCACGGCCCCTTCCGCCGACCCCTCGGCCCAGAGATTTGCGTATGGGCCCCTCCCTGGCAAGCATCAGACGGTGCTGAGGGGCGAGCTTTTCTGTTTCGTCGTGGCCGTAGAAAAATCTAGGGGGGCCATTGGCTTACATTACTGATAATGATCAGGTTTCAACTGGATTTTGGAGTAGGTGGCTTGAGGCTCCCCAGGGCCTCAATGCGGATCTCTGGAGGAGGCTGCGCGATGCTCTGCAAGTGTCGGACCGACACCCAGGCGATGTGTGCGTCCTCAAAGTTCCCTCTCACGTTGACGGTGCCGAGGTGGAGGCTAGAGGTCTCCCAGGCCATTTAATTGCAGGAAATGTGTTCGTTGACGCCCTTGCGGGCACTGCCGCCAAGCTGTTCAGAGTCCCCGCTGATCAGCGTGCGAGAGTTCTCCGCATCGAGAGTGAAGTCCGTCTCATTCGTGAGAGGCTCTTGAGGGCCACGTTAGAGTCGTGTAAGGTGGACGGGAAAAAGGTCAGGCGCCCTGCTGCCCCTGCGGTTGCCCCTCCCCCTGCACCCTCAGTCGTCGCCTTTTTCCAATCGTCTCATGCTGTGGAGTCCTGTGGGAAAAAATGCTCGAGGTGTCATAGTAGCTGCTCGGAGGCGAGCAAGAAGATGTGGCTATCATCGGAATGTTTTCCCTAATTCGGGCGACTGAGCACACTCTAAGGGTCCCTCACGGTCGGCAGATTCACCTCGCTGGGGGCTGGGTCCACCAGTCTCACCAGATGGTATTTCACGAATCGTTGGCCCTGTGGTTCTGTCAGGCCTGTGGGGGGTATTTCTCTTGTAACCTCTGTGGGCTGGCCGAGTTGTGTTCGTATCCCGACTCCCCTGTGACCAAGACGCGGCGAGCTTACCTCGACCGCATCTCCAGGAACCTGTGGCCCAAAGTGCTCAGCAAGGCTGAGCAAGCGGCTAGGGGTCGGTCTTAATTAAGTTGAGGGGGGGGGCGGGGCCCCTAAGTGGGTGTGTGTGTGTGTGTCAGCGGCGAGCGGCGCGCCCGCGCGCGGCCGCCCGCGACATCGGCGGCTTCCACATGGAGGACCGCCCACGCACCCCACCGCCCGTCCCCCCCCTCGGTTTTTCGGATTCGCTTCGCGATCGGTCTCATCTCATCACCCCTTCCTCCCCATAATGTTCCCCGCAGGGTTCTCACAACGGCTGGGGGAACACACAGTCCGATAGCGTGGCCGAGCTCTGGCCACAGCGTTCGGCCGCATGGGCGTTTCCCAAAGGCGGGGGGCGACTGTGACTCCCCGTAAGCGTCTTCGATCTGCCGCCCCCTTAGCCTGCCAGTGCTTGGTCTGCCAGCCCCCTGGTGACTTGCCACAGGGGTGCACGGCGTGCCAAACCTCAAGGTAGCTTGGCACTTCCGAGAAAAATTCCGAATGTGGTCTCTTCGATCCCGTTGGCCAGAAAGTATCACTGGAAGCGGAAGGCAAGGACTTTGCCGCTCCAGATGGCTCCAACATGGCCTTCAAGACGGCCAATGCGGCATCCAAGACGGCCAAGCTGGCCTCAAGAGAGCCCAAGATGGACCCAAAATGTCTCCACATCGGCCCGAGATGCACCCCCGACGACCTAAAACGGCCTCAAGATGGCCCGAGAGACCTCAAAGAGGAGGACCTCCAGGAGGACCTGTGACGCTTGCTCCAAGACGGCCCCATAGGCCTCCTAGATCGCCCCAACACGGCCCACGAGACCCCCAAGAGGCCCGCAAGACGGACCAAGAAAGCCCCAAGACGGCCCAAGAGGCCCCGAAGACGGCCCGTAAGCGCCCAAGACGGACCCACGATTACCCAGAGAGGACCCCAAGACGGCCACCGACTGCCAAGAGGCCCCTGAGAGGCCCGTAAGAGGCCCCTAAGATGCTCCAGGATGCCCCCAAAAGGCCTCTCAGAGGCCCCCAAGAGGCTGCCAGGAAACCCCCAAGAGGCCTCAAGAGGGCCTCAAGAGGCCTCCTCGTCTTCCTCTTCGTCTTCCTAGTGGTATTATTACTAGTAGTAGCATGCGCATTATTATTGCTCATAATAGGTTCTTCTTATCAGTATGATTCCTCTTCTTCGTACTCATGTTTTTGCTCCTATTTTTCCTCTTCCTCTTCTTCCTCCTCCTCCTCCTCCGCCTCCTCCTCCTCCTCCACCTCCTCCTCCTCATCATTTGTCTTCCTCTCCCAAGTGTCTCCCGAGGGGAACACACAGATAAACAGCTTGGCCAGACTTCGGCCAAACGGTTGGCCGCATGGGCGTTTCCAAAAGGCGGGGGGCGGCGGTGATTCGCTGCAGACGTCTTCGATCCGCCACTTCCTTAGCCTGCCAATGATTGGTCTGCCAATCTCTAGAATTACAACCACCGCGCGGACTTCGCGCGCGCTCAGGTCCTCCGCAATCCCAGCTCGCAGCGAGATGTCGAGGGTTAGGCGACGGTTGTGGACAGTACTTGAGTCCGGAGTCGCTACAAGAGCACGCGAGGAGTGCGAATCATTTTCAAAATGGGGCTCTCGCAGACTCGTCTTAGAACGTTCCAGCAGTTACACAAATGGAGGGCGGTCCCACTTTTTCAATGGGACTTTCGCCTGAGCCCTTCGGCGCGTTTTCAAGATTACGAATGCATCGCGGAACAACAGTTGCATGGATGTAGGGCGGTCCCTTCTCCAAATGGGGCTCTTGTTTGAGATGCCGCACGACCCTACGACCACACATCTGAGACTGTGCCTCAAGTGCGCGGATGGAGGGCGGTTCCTTTTCCAAGCGAGCCCGTCGCTTGGCACAGCCTTGAACTTTACGCGCTCGGGACAACCGTAGGCAGAACCTATCGTAAGGCCATCGGGAAAGCATGTGCTGCGCTGCTTGAGGAAGACGCCCGTCGAAGCACGGCCACACGGGCGCAGGATAAAAAGCGATTCCTTTCCAAGCCCCACTCCCGCCGGCATTGCGGGCCCGTGGGGTGCTCGTCTTTCGGGGGAGGGGCCGGGCGCTTCGCGCCAGGACAAGCCGCACCGGCAGAGACGAACTGAAGGAGGGGAGGGCTGGACGGGGGAGGGCGCGCTGCAGCCTCGCCCACGCCTCTCTGGGCTTAGGCGAGGCATGTCCCCCTACAGCGGAGTCTGGAAGAACAATGATATATATATATATATATATATATATATATATAAGTGCTCGCACATACTCGAAAAGGAATCGAACAACCGTCCCCGACTATTGTTTTGCCTATTTCTGAACCCTCCTCCTGCAGAGGGACAGGCCCCACGTAGCTCCGGGCCTGCCCTGGCCGCCCGGAAGACCGATCCCCGGGCCCGTCCGGGCGTGCGCCCTCGCCGAGAAGAGCCCGGGGGAGCCTCCCCCCAGAGGCCCGAGGAGGGGGTCAACAGCGAGGAAGAGGAAATGCCATAGTGGGGCGGGGTGTGCCAGGCGCCTGCACGGCGCATCGGCAAACAAAGCTGGCTTGGTTTCCTACTGCCTTCCCCGGTTCCTCGGGCTGGGTTCCTTGCTGCCGCTTTGGCCTAGGACCACCCCATGACCCCATGTTCCCAGTGCGTTCCGTGGGCCCACGGATTTGTCCCTGTGGGTAGCTGGTCTTGATCCCGCTCGCGCCACCTGAAGAGACTAGTCTAAGGTTCTCTTCGCGGCCCTCATGGGCTCCTCATGGAGCCCCGCAGGCCTCTCCAAGAGAGCCTGCGAAAGCCTTCGTCAAGCCAGGAGAGAGCCCCAAGAAGGCCCCCAGGAGAACACACAGACTTGACACGTCGGGTGTGTCTGCCATCCTGCGCGCGCATCCCCCTCTTTGGCAAAGAGCAGTTGCCCCTATCTCTTCGGCTGTCGTTTCTTTGTTTTCTCTCCTCGCTCTTCACTGATCACTCCTCTCGTCGCCCGCCTCCGATGGGAGGCATCAGGAAGCCCACAGGATGCATTAGGAAATCGATAAGACTCCTGAGGAAACCCCTAAGATCCCGCAGGAAACCCATTGGATTCCTCAGGAGACCCGTCGGGATCCTGAGAAACTGAATTGAAATCCTTCGGAAATCAAAGGATTCCTGTATCGGAATCCTCTGGAAATGCGTAAGATTATTTCGGGCACCCATACGAATCCGAAGGGAATCGACAGGAAGGAAGCCTTAGGGAATCCATTGGACCCCTAAAGAAATCAGTAAAAATCCGATGGAATTCCATGGGGTCCCTTAGGATACCCATTGGAATCCCAAGAAAATCTGCTGGATTCCTGCGGACATGCATCGGATTCCTGTAGAAATCCATAAACCAGCCTATGGAAATCCAAAGGAATCCTTGAGATATCCATCGGACTCCTAAGGAAACAAATTGGACCCCTTAGGAAATCCACTCGATGTTTTAGGAAATTCATAGAAATCCGATGGACATCCATAGGAACCCGTGAGACATCCATAGGAATCCTAAGGACATCGATCGGATTCCTTCGGACACCCACTGGGCCCCTTGGGGAATCCGTCGGAATCCAATGGGAATCAAGAGGGTTCGTTTGGGCATCGATAGGAACCCTAAGAACATCCAATGGATATCTTAAGATATCCATACGAATCCTAAGGAAATCGACTGGATGCCTTAAGAAATCCATAAGATTCCCCAGGACGCCCATAGGAACCCCAAGGAAATTCATTGAAATTCTTAGGAAATCAGAAAAAATAGGACAGCCTAAGTCTGTCTTGTGCTGCTTGGGGGCATCTTGGGCCGTTCTTTCGCGTTCTGGGAGCTCCTTGGGGTCGTCTTGGGTCGTCCTGGTGCGTTTTGGGGCCTCCCTGGGAGGCCTGGAGGTGGTACCGGGAGTTGCCCCCAGATGTCACGGAGGTGGGGGACGCTCCCTGGGAGGGGGGGGCGTATTTGTTTCAATCCGTATAGAGCTTATCTGCCTACTTTCCTTCCCTTCTCCTGACAGCTCGCCTGGGCACTGTTTCCGGATCCTGCCTCGAGCGCTGCCAGGACGCTGCAGGCAGAGGGCGACGACGGGTGCGCCGCGACGTCTTGCCGGCACTGGTGGGCGGCAACAATGGAGCGACGTCTCGGAGAGGGGCTCTTCGGCACCCCCATCGGGCAAAAGAGGCCGGGCTCAGGCCCCGAGCACCTCGCTGGGAGAAGCGCGCGACAGAGGGCACACGGTCTGGAGCAGAGCCGTGCCCAGGAAGGCGTGCGGCCGGCGCCTGCTGCGGCGAGACTCCACGAGCGACGCTTCTCCGCACCACACGTTCTCGGGCCACTGCGAGCAGAGGCTCTGAGAATCATGCTCAGGGTCGTCGTAGCAGACGTTGTTCCCAGCCAGGCACGCGGAACAGGGCCCAGCGAAGTCCCAGGCCTTGCCGTGGTGGGCCACAGCCGCTTCGCAGACGCTGGGCTCCCCGCCGGACGCGGAGGGGGAGGTCGTGGGCGCCTCCGTGGGCGCCGGCGTCGGCGTCGGCACCGCCGGCGTGGGCGACGGGGTCGCGGGCGCCTCCGTGGGCGTCGCCGTCGGCGGCGCTAGCGTGGGCGACGGCGTCGTGGGCGCCTCCGTGGGCGCCGGCGTCGGCACCGCCGGCGTGGGCGACGGCGTCGCGGGCGCCTCCGTGGGCGTCGGCGTCGGCGGCGCCAGCGTGGGCGACGGCGTCGTGGGCGCCTCCGTGGGCGCCGGCGTCGGCACCGCAGGCGTGGGCGACGGCGTCGCGGGCGCCTCCGTGGGCGTCGGCATCGGCGGCGCCAGCGTGGGCGACGGCGTCGTGGGCGCCTCCGTGGGCGCCGGCGTCGGCACCGCAGGCGTGGGCAACGGCGTCACGCTGGGCGCGGAGCCCAGCGCCTGCCTCACCGGCTCGGACCAGCCAACGTCGTCGGAGGCGGCCCACAAGAAAGCCCCGCCGTGCCCGGGGAACGCCGCGGCGACGTCCTGGAGGATGGCGGCGGCCTGGCTGCCGTCCACGTTGCTGCCGGTCCCAGAGCAGTCGGCGATGCAGAAGCCAAACACAACCTTGCTGGCGTCGCCGCCGAAGATATCGTCCACGAGGTGTCCCATGTGCTCTATGGCGGGCTGGGTGTCGATCGCGGGCCTGAGCGGGCCGTTGTAATACTGAGGCAAGAGGTAGTCGACGCTGGAGGCGACCTCCTGGAGGACTCTGAAGTACGGTGCTCCAGCGGCGATATCCCCATCCATGGGCGCGTGGGAAATGATCTTCCCGGGGGGCAGCGCGGCGCGGAGCCCCGTGGTCAAATCCTTCAGGAACTGGCTGGACGTGTCCGTGTGGTCGTACTCGTAGTCGATCCGCCACCGTGCCATCGGCACGCTGAGGCGCGTTAAGAGCATGCTCGCTGTCTCGGGTTCTCAAAACCCACGACGGCCCAAGAGGCGCGCAAGATCGCCCCAGGGGCACCCAAGAGGGCCCCAAGAAGGAGAGCTCGCACTGGCTCCGGGAGCTCTCCCTCCGACGTGGCCCCCTGGACCCGCAACCTGCCCGAAAGGGTCCCCCGAGGTCCGCAAGAAGATCCAGAACGCCTCCAAGAGCGCGCCCAGGAGGCCCCCATGAAACTAAAAAAACATATTCTGCAGGCTTTCAACATACTCGCCGTTTCGGGCTCCAGAAAATCCAAGGCAGCCCAAGAGGGAGAACTGGCACTGACCGTTGGGGCCTTTCCGTTTTAGACGGCCCCCCAGACCCCCAACGTGCCCCCGCGAGGCTGAACCCTCTAAGGGGCCCCCAAGAGGCCCTCGAGGCGGCCCCGGAGAAGAAGACCCATCCACGATGCATTCAGGAAAAAATAGAGGGGGAGCAAGAAGGATGATGATGATGGCGATGATGATGATGATGTTGGTGATGATGATGATGATGATGATGATGATGATGATGATGATGATGGTGATGGTGATGATGATGATGCTGGTGATGATGACAACGATGATGATAATGATGATGACGATGATGATGATGATGGTGGTGATGATGATGCTGGTGACGATGATGATGACGATGATGATGATGAGGATGATGATGAGGATGGCGATGATGATGATGCTGATGCTGGCGATGATGACGACGATGACGACGATGCTGATGATGATGACGACGACGACGAAGGTGTTGATGATAATGACGATGATGATGGTGACGATGATGATGACGATGGTGGTGATGGTGACGGTGACGATGATGGTGATGACGATGATGATGATGATTATTACGATGATGCTGATGATGGTGGTGATGGTGACGGTGATTGTGATAGTGATGATGATGAGGTGGAGGAGGAGGAGAACGAGGATGAGGAGGAGGAGCAGGAGGAGGAGGAGCAGGAAGAGGAGGACCAGTGTAAACCCAACTAGTTATCAACGATTGTTGGAACAAATCCCTCTTCAAAGGATCATCATCGGCCTCTCAATCTCACCGTGGAACTGCCTCTCTGTCACTGGAAAACAAACGATGGAAGATCTGGGCGAATGCCAAAAACATTGTTCTCGGGATTCCAACGCCACGGATCAACCTGGCTGTTGCATCTTGACGAGCCTGAATCGTGCCAGAACGACATTCCTGGGACTTCAACGCCGAGACTCTATGTAACTGGTCCACCCGCACAGTCCCAAATCTTTCCAAAACACAATTTGTGGCACGTTGATCCTGGGAATCCGTGAAACTCTTGCAAATGATACAAAGGAATGCGCGGGGCGCTAAGACGAGAGCCACATTATGGAAAGGAACCTCCCTCAATCCGTGGGAACTTTGCACATGTTTTAAACGAATGCACGTGTCGATTTAGGGAGAGCCAATTTTGAAAACGGCCGCCCTCAATCCGTGAAACTCCTTGCCAATTGTTACCAACGAATGCGAATGTGCGCGCGCTACGGCGAGGAGAGAGGAACGGCATTGGAAAACCACTCGCTCTCAATCCGTGAAACTTTTGCCAATGTTTCAACGAATGTGCGCGGCGCTAAGGCGAGAGCCACATTATGAAAACCACTCGCCCTCAATCCGTGAAACTCTTGCCAATGTTATAGACGAATGTGCCTGGCGCTAAGGCGAGAGCCACATTATGGAAACCACTCGCCCTCAATCCGTGAAACTCACTCTTGTGCAAATTGCATAAACGAATGTGCCCGGCGCTGAGGCGAGAGCCACATTTTGATAACGACCCGCCCTCCATCTGTGAAACGGTTGCCAATGTTTAAGCTTCAGGGTCAGACATGGCGAAGAAGTCCCAGGCGAAACGCCGGGCCCGCCCTAAAAACTTGCCTCGGATGCGACAGGGAGACGTTATTATTTATAATGAAAAGGAATTGAGGAGGAGGAGGATTAGGAGGAGGAGGGAGGAGGAGGAGAAGAGAGGAGGAGGAGAGAGGAGGAGGAAAGAGGAGGAAGGAGGATGGACAACAAATGGGCTTTCAGTTCAGCGCTCTGTTTGACCTGGAGCGGGTCTCGCACTCAACCATTTTCTGGCCGCGCCGTTGCGCTGGCGCGGTGGCGGGGTGTGCCGCAGGCAGCCACATATCCACGCCGTCGAAGCCCTGGCTGTCGATGATCTCCACCAAGCGGCTCACCACGCTGTCCACCCTCCCGAAGCAGTATTCCCAACAGTCGTTCACGTCGCCGGCCCAGCTCCCGCCCATGCCCGCGCCGCCGAAGGAGAGCAAGACCTTCGTGCCCGCCTGCCGCCACGTCTCGATCAGGTCGGGCTTGGCCTGGTTGTCGCACGTGGCGGGCACCCCGATGGTACAGCTCTGGTCGCACTGATTCTTCGTGGGGCTCCACGTGTAGCTGACCGCGAAAGAGACGATAACCTTGTCGTAGCCCCGAATCTTGTCCAGGCTCGGGCACGGCAGCCAGTTCTCCACGAACGCCACCAGCTGCTTGCTCCCCTCGGGCTCGGGCTCCGGCTCCGGCTCCGGAGTTTCTGGAGGCTCCGTGGGCGACGTCGGCTCCGTGGGCGATGGCGCGGGCGTTGGGCCCGCGGACGCCCCGCCGCCCTCCACCAGCCGGACGTCCGCGCAGTTCTTGAACTGCTCGCCGCAGAGCACGGGGCCGCCCTGCTCCGCTGGGCACTCGCCCTGGTAGGAGCACACCACGCCATCGCACCACGCGCTTGCGTCCCACCCCTGCCGCTCCATTTCCTGGAAGTAGCACCTGTAGGCGTCCGGGTGCGGAGTGCAACTGTTCGCGCTCATCCACCACCACTGCAGAGTGCAGCTCTCGCATGTGAGGTCGGCGGGGATCCGGTAGTGGAAGCGGTGCTGCGTGCGGGTGAGGTGTGACCCGTTATGGGGTGGGAGGTACCAGTGCCCAGGGTTAGCCTCGTCGTAGGGCTGACAATCACCTCGTGGGTCGTTTGGCTGGCAATCCGCGTGGACCTCCTCTGGCCTGGCCCGGCTCAGGACGTGCTCATTCAGGCATTCCTCCTGCGCCTGGTAGTCACCAGTCTGGCTGTCCAGGCGCTGGTCGCAGAGCCGGAAGACGAAGTGCCCCTTGTGGTGGGCGGTGACGGTGATCACGAACTCGGCCAGCTGCCCCGCCCGCAGCTCGGTCACCGGGCCGACCGCGTCCAGGAAGTGGGCGTTCCCGCAGGTCGCCATTGGAAGGTCGGTGGACCCCAAGCACTGCGGGCAGTAGCCGTTCCCCACGTTGTTGTAGGCCCCGCCGCGCATCTCGGGCTTCGTCAGGAACGCGTGGCCGCTCGCAAGGGCGGGCAGCAGACCCAGGGCCAGGACGAGGGCGGAGCTGCCCATGGCGGGGAGGCTTGGGGCCGCCAGAGGGGACGTTCGAGATTCGGCCTTGCGTCGAGCGGCTCGTGCGCGAAATGGCTGCGGCAGTGCGCGCCTCGGCTGCCACCCCCCCCGCCTCGCCCCCCGCGCCCTGCACCCTGGTCCCCCTCCCCCGAGATGGCTACGATGGGCGACGGCTTTGAATATCGGCTCCAGGGGGGGGGCCGTTTCGGGCCGCGGGGCCATCGTGAATGGACTTGGAGCGCAAGATCCTGCCGACAGATGAGGTCGAGAGCTCGGACAGAACCTCTTCTGCTGGCGCGCGCGAGGGGGACGAGGCCTCCAAAAAGGCTCCCTGTCGGCCCCAAATGCCTCAGAACGGCCCCAATACGGTTTCCATACGGCCCAAGAGACCTCCAAGGCAGCACCTGAGATGACCTCCAAGACGGCTCTGAAGCGACCCGGTGAGGGCCCGAAGTCCCAGAGGCGCCCCCAAGACGGCTTCTGACGGCGCCAGACGGGCCAGCAACGCCAAAGACGAGCGGAAATTGCACAACGCCCACCCTCGAGAGGCCCAAGGAGGCCTCGCCTTCAAGAGGCCCCAAGAGTGCTCCAAAAGCTCCAAAGGGCCGTCAAGAGGCCCCAAGAGTACTCCAAAAGCTCCAAAGAGGCCTCCTCCTCCTCCTCCTCCTCCTCCTCCTCCTTCCCTCCTCCTCCGTTCTCCTCTCGCCCTCTTCCTTTCCTCCCATAATGTTCCCGCAGAGGTTCTCCACACGGCTGGGGGAACACTCCGTCGATAGCGTGGCCGAGCTTATGGCCACAGGCGTCGGCCGCATGGGCGTTTCCCAAAGGCGGGGGGCGACTGTGACTCCCCGTAAGCGTCTTCGATCTGCCGCCCCCTTAGCATGCCAGTGCTTGGTCTGCCAGCCCCCTGGTGACTTGCCACAGGGGTGCACGGCGTGCCAAACCTCAAGGTAGCTTGGCACTTCCGAGAAAAATTCCGAATGTGGTCTCTTCGATCCCGTTGGCCAGAAAGTATCACTGGAAGTGGAAGGCAAGGACTTTGCCGCTCCAGATGGCTCCAAAATGGCCTTCAAGACGGCCAATGCGGCATCCAAGACGGCCAAGCTGGCCCCAAGAGAGCCCAAGATGGACCCAAAATGTCTCCACAACGGCCCGAGATGCACCCCCGACGACCTAAAACGGCCTCAAGATGGCCCGAGAGACCTCAAAGAGGAGGACCTCCAGGAGGACCTGTGACGCTTGCTCCAAGACGGCCCCATAGGCCTCCTAGATCGCCCCAACACGGCCCACGAGACCCCCAAGAGGCCCGCAAGACGGACCAAGACCGCCCCAAGACGGCCCAAGAGGCCCCGAAGACGGCCCGTAAGCGCCCAAGACGGACCCACGATTACCCAGAGAGGACCCCAAGACGGCCACCGACTGCCAAGAGGCCCCTGAGAGGCCCGTAAGAGGCCCCTAAGATGCTCCAGGATGCCCCCAAAAGGCCTCTCAGGGGCCCCCAAGAGGCTGCCAGGAAACCCCCAAGAGGCCTCAAGAGGGCCTCAAGAGGCCTCCTCGTTTTCCTCTTCGTCTTCGTAGTGGTATTATTATTATTAGTAGTAGCATGCGCATTCTTATTGCTCATAATATGTTATTCTTATCAGTATTATTCCTCTTCTTCGTACTCATGATTTTGCTCCTATTATTCCTCTTCCTCTTCTTCCTCCTCCTCCTCCGCCTCCTCCTCCTCCGCCTCCTCCTCCTCATCATTTGTCTTCCTCTCCCAAGTGTCTCCCGAGGGGAACACACAGATAAACAGCTTGGCCAGACTTCGGCCAAACGGTTGGCCGCATGGGCGTTTCCAAAAGGCGGGGGGCGGCGGTGATTCGCTGCAGGCGTCTTCGATCCGCCACTTCCTGAGCCTGCCAATGATTGGTCTGCCAATCTCTAGAATTACAACCACCGCGCGGACTTCGCGCGCGCTCAGGTTCTCCGCAATCCCAGCTCGCAGCGAGATGTCGAGGGTTAGGCGACGGTTGTGGACAGTACTTGAGTCCGGAGACGCTACAAGAACACGCGTGGAGTGCGAATCATTTTCAAAATGGGGCTCTCGCAGACTCGTCTTAGAACGTTCCAGCAGTTACACAAATGGAGGGCGGTCCCACTTTTTCAATGGGACTTTCGCCTGAGCCCTTCGGCGCGTTTTCAAGATTACGAATGCATCGCGGAGCAACAGTTGCATGGATGTAGGGCGGTCCCTTCTCCAAATGGGGCTCTTGTTTGAGATGCCGCACGACCCTACGACCACACATCTGAGACTGTGCCTCAAGTGCGCGGATGGAGGGCGGTTCCTTTTCAAAGCGAGCCCGTCGCTTGGCACAGCCTTGAACTTGACGCGCTCGGGACAACCGTAGGCAGAACCTATCGTAAGGCCATCGGGAAAACATGTGCTGCGCTGCTTGAGGAGGACGCCCGTCGAAGCACGGCCACACGGGCGCAGGATAAAAAGCGATTCCTTTCCAAGCCCCACTCCCGCCGGCATTGCGGGCCCGTGGGGTGCTCGTCTTTCGGGGGAGGGGCCGGGCGCCTCGCGCCAGGACAAGCCGCACCGGCAGAGACGAATTGAAGGAGGGGAGGCCTGGACGGGGGAGGGCGCGCTGCAGCCTCGCCCACGCCTCTCTGGGCTTAGGCGAGGCACGTCCCCCTACAGCGGAGTCTGGAAGAACAATGAGATATATATATATTATAGTGCTCGCACATACTCGAAAAGGAATCGAACAACCGTCCCCGACTATGTTTTGCCTATTTCTGAACCCTCCTCCTGCAGAGGGACAGGCCCCACGTAGCTCCGGGCCTGCCCTGGCCGCCCGGAAGACCGATCCCCAGGCCCGTCCGGGCGTGCGCCCTCGCCGAGAAGAGCCCGGGGGAGCCTCCCCCCAGAGGCCCGAGGAGGGGGTCAACAGCGAGGAAGAGGAAATGCCATAGTGGGGCGGGGTGTGCCAGGCGCCTGCACGGCGCATCGGCAAACAAAGCTGGCTTGGTTTCCTACTGCCTTCCCCCGTTCCTCGGGCTGGGTTCCTTGCTGCCGCTTTGGCCTAGGACCACCCCATGACCCCATGTTCCCAGTGCGTTCCGTGGGCCCACGGATTTGTCCCTGTGGGTAGCTGGTCTTGACCCCGCTCGCGCCACCTGAAGAGACTAGTCTAAGGTTCTCTTCGCGGCCCTCATGGGCTCCTCATGGAGCCCCGCAGGCCTCTCCAAGAGAGCCTGCGAAAGCCTTCGTCAAGCCAGGAGAGAGCCCCAAGAAGGCCCCCAGGAGAACACACAGACTTGACACGTCGGGTGTGTCTGCCATCCTGCGCGCGCATCCCCCTCTTTGGCAAAGAGCAGTTGCCCCTATCTCTTCGGCTGTCGTTTCTTTGTTTTCTCTCCTCGCTCTTCACTGATCACTCCTCTCGTCGCCCGCCTCCGATGGGAGGCCTCAGGAAGCCCACAGGATGCATTAGGAAATCGATAAGACTCCTTAGGAAACCCCTAAGATTCCGCAGGAAACCCATTGGATTCCTCAGGAGACCCGTCGGGATCCTGAGAAACTGAATTGAAATCCTTCGGAAATCAAAGGATTCCTGTATCGGAATCCTCTGGAAATGCGTAAGATTGTTTCGGGCACCCATACGAATCCGAAGGGAATCGACAGGAAGGAAGCCTTAGGGAATCCATAGGACCCCTAAAGAAATCAATAAAAATCCGATGGAATTCCATGGGGTTCCTTAGGATACCCATTGGAATCCCAAAAAAATCTGCTGGATTCCTGCGGAAATGCATCGGATTCCTGTAGAAATCCATAAACCAGCCTATGGAAATCCAAAGGAATCCTTGGGATATCCATCGGACTCCTAAGGAAACAAATTGGACCCCTTAGGAAATCCACTCGATGTTTTAGGAAATTCATAGAAATCCGATGGACATCCATAGGAACCCGTGAGACATCCATAGGAATCCTAAGGACATCGATCGGATTCCTTCGGACACCCACTGGGCCCCTTGGGGAATCCGTCGGAATCCAATGGGAATCAAGAGGGTTCGTTTGGGCATCGATAGGAACCCTAAGAACATCCAATGGATATCTTAAGATATCCATACGAATCCTAAGGAAATCGACTGGATGCCTTAAGAAATCCATAAGATTCCCCAGGACGCCCATAGGAACCCCAAGGAAATTCATTGAAATTCTTAGGAAATCAGAAAAAATAGGACAGCCTAAGTCTGTCTTGTGCTGCTTGGGGGCATCTTGGGCCGTTCTTTCGCGTTCTGGGAGCTCCTTGGGGTCGTCTTGGGTCGTCCTGGTGCGTTTTGGGGCCTCCCTGGGAGGCCTGGAGGTGGTACCGGGAGTTGCCCCCAGATGTCACGGAGGTGGGGGACGCTCCCTGGGAGGGGGGGGCGTATTTGTTTCAATCCGTATAGAGCTTATCTGCCTACTTTCCTTCCCTTCTCCTGACAGCTCGCCTGGGCACTGTTTCCGGATCCTGCCTCGAGCGCTGCCAGGACGCTGCAGGCAGAGGGCGACGACGGGTGCGCCGCGACGTCTTGCCGGCACTGGTGGGCGGCAACAATGGAGCGACGTCTCGGAGAGGGGCTCTTCGGCACCCCCATCGGGCAAAAGAGGCCGGGCTCAGGCCCCGAGCACCTCGCTGGGAGAAGCGCGCGACAGAGGGCACACGGTCTGGAGCAGAGCCGTGCCCAGGAAGGCGTGCGGCCGGCGCCTGCTGCGGCGAGACTCCACGAGCGACGCTTCTCCGCACCACACGTTCTCGGGCCACTGCGAGCAGAGGCTCTGAGAATCATGCTCAGGGTCGTCGTAGCAGACGTTGTTCCCAGCCAGGCACGCGGAACAGGGCCCAGCGAAGTCCCAGGCCTTGCCGTGGTGGGCCACAGCCGCTTCGCAGACGCTGGGCTCCCCGCGGACCGCGGAAAAAAGAAAAAAAAAAAAAAAAAGGGGGAGGTCGTTGGGCGCCTTCCGTGGGGCCCGGCGTTCGGCGGATCGGCAACCGCCGGCGTGGGCGGACGGGGGTCGCGGGCGCCTCCGTGGGTCGTCGGC